AATATTAAATTTATTATTTTATTTAATAAAAATTTAATTTAAAATTTAAAAATCTTAATACATGAATTTTAAAAATAGTATATATCAATCTTAATACATGATTTTTTCTTTTTTTTGATAAAAGGTTTGAATAAATTTTTTAAAGCTTGGTCTTATGGTACATTCAAATTTTGGAATCCAAACCAAAACCATACCAAAAAAGAACGGCCCAAAAATGAGCCCAACTATATCAAGTCAAGACTGTCAAGTGAAGTCAATGATAATTTGTTTTAGGCCTTTCACATAAAATTGAACTAACCAAAGGCCCAATCTTGCAGACTTGAATGGCGGAGAGAATTTTCTTTTTTTTTTTTTGGAGAGAGAGATCTTTTATTTTGGAACAGAAAAGAATAAAAATTGAAATAAATCGTTAACGACCTAAGTAAGTTAGTGATCTTTTTTTGCTAGAAATAAGAAATTTTAAATTTGAGTTGTATGGTATGCGGGTGGATTTAGATAAAAGATTGGAGATGATTATCTCTCATTATGCAACTAAAATAAAAAAAAATTCTAAATAAATCATATAAGAATAAAGTCAATAAACAAAAAAAATTTCGTTCTTGGCGTTGTACAAAGCTACATTTCATCCAACTATGCATTAAAACACTCTTACTTAGAACTAAGAAATGGTAGAGAAAAAAACCAAAAAGCCAAAACATGAAAATTTTGAAAAGGATTGACTATGACTCCTCTGCTTTAAAGTATTGAGAAATGATTGAAATTCCAATTGTGAAATAAGCTTGTCTTAGCATTAAAGTCAATCGAAACCAACCAAATCCGAAAATTTTCCCAATTGGAAGCACTCAATTGGCACACATGGGGAGCAATTATTTGTAACAACTTATCGGCACAACCATCTCATTCAAATTACAATTTGTCTCCTACAAGAACAGGGTATGGTGTGTCATTGACTTAAATAATTCAGTGATCATTTTTTTTTTGTTAATTTGAGGAAGGTGTTGACCGTGAAAATGATATGAATAGAGGGTGCAAATAGGGGTTTTGACAATTTTTTTCTAGTTGATTCAAAATTTGAATTTAAGATCTTTAATTTAGAGATTTCAAGTTTTTAACTATTAAATCACTCCATTAGAGTTAGTGAAATGCTGAATATTTAATAATTGAAAAATAGTCTAGAGATAATTTTTTTATTTTTTTGTATAAATTTATGTATCATTTAAATGGTTAATTTTTCTATTCATTTGAAAATTTAAATATTAAATGTATTTATTTATTTAATAATATATAAAAATTATTAAAAATTTTAAAAAAATTATTTTGTATCACCATCTTTAATAACTTTTATTTTAAATTTTGATATAACTTGAACAACAAAAACAAGAAACTGCTTGTCCTTAATCATT